CATTACAAAGAATCCCGTAATGCATTCAAGAACTAAACACATAGACATTCAACATCATTTCCTCCGTGATCATGTTCTTCAAGGAGATGTCGAGGTAACCTTTGTAGATACTCATAATCAGCTTGCCGATATCTTCACCAAACCTTTGGCAAAAGAACCTTTCTACAAAATTCGTGGAGAGCTCGACATACTTGACGAACGCGACTTATAAGGTGCATTCTACCCTTGATATAACTCTTATATATGTTTTATACATGCTATATGATAATCTATACTATATGTTATTTATTTTTTAAGAAAAAAATTGGTTTTGGACATTTTTTGTTGATGCAAATCGATTGCACAAAGAGTGTCAATCGATTGCTCACTGAGTATTTTCAGTTCTGTCCATTCTGTTTCAAGTGCAAATCGATTGCACCTTCAATGCAAATCGATTGCACTCTGTGCGTTTTTGTTTAATTTTGATTATGTTTGTGTGAAAATCGATTGCACGTGGTATGTCAATCGATTGCACGTACTGTAACTTGCTATTATGACATAAAAATTATGTTGGTCTGAATTCCTCTCTCATATTCCCAAGCCAAATACACTTTAATTCAAATCACTCATTCCCTACCTACCCAAATCATTTCCAAATCTCAGCTCACAAACACCTTTCTCTCTCACAAAACCTAAAACCCCAAAACCCTAAAAACTCCATATCCATGGCTTCAAGACAAAAGAGAAAGGCTTCAGTTTCAGAAAAAGGGAAAAAGAAGGTTGATTTAACATCCAATCCATTGCTTTCAACTCTCACCGAAGAGCAAGAAGCCAGATTTATCAAAGACTTTCAAAGGAAAATAGTATCCAACCCCAAATATGGTATACTATCCTCCTTTCCTCAAGAATGCTTTTCCTTTCAGAATGATCTAGATGCTTATGGTCTGGAACCCTTAATTTCTTCGTTCGGTCCATATTACCCAGATTTGGTAAGAATGTTTTTCAGCAATCTAACACCCCACAAAGGCAAAATAGTCACATATGTGCTGGGCACTCGTATCTCTCTAACTCCTCAGGTTGTTGGTGAGATCCTTCATATTCCTTTCACTGGAAGTTCCCTATATGATCCTGAAAATGAGATATGGGATGACTACCGGAAAAAGGAGTTCTTTTACAACATTTAGCGGTTAAGCGAAGCTGAATTTCGCGCCAAACGGATTCGTGGTCTTGGCGGAGTAATTCCATCCAGAGACTCCTGGAGTGAAGGTAACCTCCATATAGACGATCGCTTATATCATTATTTTCTGGTCTATATCATGTTTCCAAGAGCTGGAAACCACTGCACTGTTACCGACTTCGAAATGCAGCTTATTTATGCAAGGAAGAAAGGGGTAAGTGTAAAATGGGCAAGGATGATCATGGTGCATATGCTGAGAGTGGATGCAAAATCTAAATTTCTTTCATATGCTTATTTTTTCACTTTGATTATGGAGGAATTTGGTGTGGATTTTGTTGGGTTTGAAAAGGTGAATATGAATCCTAATCTAAACAAAATTTCCATTAAGAATGTTGACTCCAGCATGAGCGTGCATTACAATCCGGAGACAAAGACCATCACCTACATTGGTGAAGATGTTGTTGGCGATGAAGGAAATGACCAAGAATTCGAAGGCGGTGAAGTTGTGCCTCCTCCTCCTACTGCTCCCTCTGGTCCAAGCAATCAAGAGCTTATAGATTACATGTCTCAACAGTTTGCTTCCATGAACACCAACATCAAAAATCAATGGAGTGCGATCAATGATTCCACTACAACCCGGATTAATGACTTTGGCATGGATGTGAATAAAAAATTCTCGTACCTTTACTCTCATCTTCATATTCCACCATACGATCCAAATAATCCAGCAGCACCTCCTCAACACTATACATAACCCCCACTTCAACAACAATTCCTGAATCAAGACTCATGGTCTTATAACCATCCAGACATACATCACTCTTAATGTTCTGGCTAACTGTTTTTCTGTTATGTTCTTTTCTTGTTATTCAATGTTTTGTTTGTTCAAATTTCTGTATAATCCTTAAACAATTTGTGTTACTGTTTTAATTCTAAAATTTTCTCAATATGTTGCTCTATTATTATTTGCTTTAGGCATCTTTCCCTTCTTTTTGATAATGTCAAAGGGGGACAAAGATGTGTGGTACTTTATGCTTGTATTTCCCGTGTATTAATTTTTAAGGTACTCTCCAATCAAGATGAAGAAACGCATAGGATTCCAACCCTCTCCTACATAGGGGGAGTTTTGCATCTTAGGGGGAGAAGCTCTTCCGAAAAGTACATCACATAAAGCAAGATTGTTTATCATCATCAAAAAGGGGGAGAATATAAAATCAAGCTTCACAAATGAGCTTTTATTTTGATGAAGACAAACCATGGCTAACAAAGAAGGTAAAGATTTATGATCAAGCTCAAAGCATCTAAGGATAATATCTTCATTCAAAGCTCTCAACAACTTTAAAGGTATAATAATATTATCTACTTTGATCTTAAGATATAGATGCTCAAAAATGAAAAAGAAATGTTTAAAAATCATTACTCAAGCTTTTCAAAGTTAAAATTTCATTTTTCTCTAGCATGCAATCGATTTACATTTTAGTGCAATCGATTGCACACTTCAAACTTTCAGATCTCTTGCTTTTGTTTCTCTGTGCAATCGATTTACATTGCTCATGTGATCGATTGCATACTTATATTTTCAAAACGTTTGCTTCTGTTTCTCAGTGCAATCGATTTACATTGCTAGTGCAATCGATTGCATTCACTTACTTTTTGCTACTGGCTTTACATGCAATCGATTTGCATTGATAGTGAAATCAATTGCACTCTTAAAGATTTTGAAAAAATAGTTGTTGAAACCTTGTGCAATCGATTTACATAAAGGGTGCAATCAATTGCATGCTGCACGATTTTGAAAAACAACAACTTTGTACATGCCTGTTCATCATGCCTTTTCATTGTATCTTTTCACTCAAACTTGGCATTTGTTCATGATACATTTTCAGAACTTCATGATATTTCAAAAAGGTGTTATGAACATATAAATATTCAATTTCAAAATCATTTTCAAGAGATCTAACACCTCTTCCATAAATATTTTCTGAAATTTCAAAATACAAACTCAAGCATTCATTCATTTTCATGCATAAGTTTTCTGCATACTTTCATGCATTAACAAACAGAAAACTTTGAGCAAATATATCTTGAGTCATTGTACAATAGTATTATTGGAAGAGAAGATCATACATTGTTAGAATCACTCTAAGTGATCAATATTACTCTACTCACTCAAACTCAAAAATTGATATCTACTTACTTATTTTTTCAGGATTGTTGGAAATAAGTTTAAGTGTTTTGTTGAAATCTTGTCTTTCCAAAGATGTTGGATACAAGTGTAGTTACTTTGAGAAGATTGTTCTCATAGATAACTTAGTGAAAATCCAAGAGGATTGTTCTTGGTCCAAGAGGATTGTTCTTGGTTGTTTGGTAGTTCTTGTTTAAGTTTGCCACAATAAGGAAATCTATTTCATGTTGAAAGGGGACTGGAGTACTCTCGGACTGTGAGGGGAACCAGGATATATCGCCCGTGTCTCTTTATTTTTCTGCATTTTTAAGCTTTCCTAAACTCACTTTTAACCAGAAAAATAAGAACCATCATCACTAAAAACCAGAATTTTTAAAGTACCTAATTCACCCCCCTCTTAGGCGCACTTCGTACTTACATCTTCTTTTAAAGTGAACTTAGGATTCCAGTCGTGCAGTAGGACATGTTTCTTAAGATAATGTATGACCCCTCATGAGAACCATCTCTTTATCCTCTTTACTTTTGAATCTGATAAGAAAGTATGCCTCCTCATTATAGTATAACACTGGGAGGGTAACGAAATTCCAAGTGTTAATCATAAACTTCTTGACCGCGTTCATGGATAAATCATTACCTATTGCATATATAATGAGTGCATTTCGCGAAAAAAAAAACCTTCTCAGATATTTACATAAGCTTCGATAGTTGCAAGGTACATCATAAAAGAAGTTGTTGAGTTCTATTCAAACTATTTGTCGAAAACATAGTCTATAGGAATACCAAAGTCTCATCATGATGATAGATATAGAGATAGATGTACTCAAGGTTTAAATGTTATTTCAATGCTTCATAATATTGTTCTTCAAGCACATTTATATATATTGAATAATGTTAGTGAAGTTGAACCTTACTTATCTACTCACAAAAGAGTTATCAAGGAGAAATATCTCCGAATGAGTGACACGTGGTTGTTGAAAGAGCATAACAAGAATTTCATAAGTTGGTTTAACAAAATAATTTCTACAGATGATAGTACATCTGAGACAATTAAATGATTGTCATACTTTCCAAAATTTAATGTAGTAACTTGGACTGCATACGATATTAATCTTTTAATTTTTCACATTCTCATAAACATATAAAAATTTCAGTTTTAGAGTACTCATACCGATACACTTTAATATGATATTATGCTATTGTATTGAGTTTATTTCATACTTACAATAGTAACTTATAAGTTGTAAGACAAAATTTCCAAATTTTCTTCTACCAAACAACAAAACCAATTGTCTTATAGACTATGACATAAATGATGGACCACCTATTCCATTATAGTTCAACAAAAGTGCCGGTTTCCAAAATTCTTTTCCACCGTCTCAAACTTGTACATGTCACATGCTTACTTTTCTACAACGTGAAGGGGCAAATTTCTTACATAAATCAAAAGAGAAACCATTAAAATAATCATTAGAATCACAGTCCAAATGATGTTAGTGTGTATATGAATCAATGATAAAATATCACAAATATGTTTTTAATCCAATCTTAGTTAACCATTCCACAGTCTATATATTGATATTCCATCTTCTTTCTTTTTATGTTTTTTTTCTTCTTAAAACTGATTATTCTACAACCTGATTTTCTCAAACAGGTTCACCAATGAAAACCACAATGGTTAGAATAAGCCCATTGTGGTTCATACTTCTGATCATGCCTTGTTTCTTTGCAACTCATGCTTATAAGGGTAAATTACCTTTGAGGACTCTTTCTAGTGGTACTAATCATGAAGCATTAATGCTTCAATTGAATTCATTCAAAGCCTCTTTCACCAAACATGACTCCATTGCTTCACCACCTTCTCCTACTCCTTCTCCTATGCAATCACAAGTAATAATTTATCAATCATGCATGTTCTTAACTTTTAATTCAATTCATCTATGTCATTTGTTAAACAAACATAGTTTTAAATTGCGGTCACAGTTTTGGTTAGGACACAATTTATGATCAGGTTTTAAATCACGGGTGCGGTCAAAATTCTGGTTTTAGAATTATTATGCTATTGCAGGATCTCAAGAAACCACATGAATACCTTGTGACATCTTATGGTGCTGATCCAACAGGAAACTCAGATAGCACTGAGGCTCTTCTTGAAGCCATGGCAGATGCTGCAAAAGGTCCAAGTAAAGGGTTTTTGATGAATGGCATAATTGACCTTGGAGGTGCTCAGATTAATCTTCAAGGTGGAAATTACTTGATCAGCAAGCCTTTGCAGTTTCCAATGGCTGGTGTTGGAAATCTCATGGTATATTTCTAAAAACCATTTTGGTAATTTTTTTCATTCAATAAGTATTTTCAATAATTACTTGAAGTTTGCACATATCATATGTCAATGCAAAATACATAATTTTTTGTCTTTTTCTTTTTTCTTTCTCTAGTCCATAATAAAAGTCTTCCAAAAGACATCAAATTTGAAATCTAACTTTGATTTTATTTGATGTTAACAGATACATGGAGGAACAATAAAAGCCTCCAAAAATTTTCCATCAAACAAAAATCTAATTGATTTATCAAACATTGGTTCCACCTCATCCTCCTACAACTATGAATACATAACTCTCAAAGATCTCTTTCTAGACTCAAACTTCAAAGGTGGAGGAATTTCAATCAAAAACTCACTAAGAATCAACATAGACAATTGTTACATCACACATTTCACCACAAATGGAATTTTAGTCGAAAGTGGTCATGAAACATATATCAGAAACTCTTTTATCGGACAACATATAACTGCTGGAGGTGACAAAAATGAAAGAAAATTTTCAGGGATTGGAATTAACCTTCAAGGGAATGATAATGCAATCACTGATGTTGTGATTTTCTCAGCTGCTATTGGAATTATGATTACTGGTCAAGCTAACATAATTTCTGGTGTTCATTGTTATAATAAAGCTAGTGCATTTGGTGGTACAGGAATTTATTTGAAACTACCAGGTACGGTTATACTTTTAGTAATTATTATGAAGCTATTGTTTAAACTATGAAACGCCAAGTTTTCCGGATAGTTGGTGGTCCTATCGCTGTATATCGAACTTCAAAAAGAAAACTATGAAACGCGGACATAGACACATATAACAATTGGGTAACTTGTGTTTTAAGTTATTTGCAAATTGAGGATTATTATTTAATATTGATTTGAAACTATTACATTATATTTATTCCATGTCTTCCAACAGGTTTAACACAAACAAGGATTGTAAATTCTTACATGGATTACACAAACATTATTGCTGAAGATCCTGTCCAACTTCACATCTCAAGTACTTTCTTCTTTGGTGATGCAAATATTGTTCTAAAATCAATCAAAGGTATTGTAAATGGTCTCAACATTGTTGACAACATGTTCTCTGGAACAAACTATGGTGTTGAAATTGTGAAGCTAGACACATCAATAACTCATTTTAGTCAAATTAAACAAGTTTTTGTTGAAAGAAATGTTGTGACTGGTATGAATTTAAAGGCTACTTCAGCAATGATATCTTTGCATGGAAATGGAACTTCATGGGTTGCTGATTTTAACAAAATTTTGATTTTTCCTAACCTTATTAGCAATGCTCAATACTCATTAACTGCTAGTGGTAACATGTTTCCAAATCATGTTATTAGAAATGTCTCTAAGAATTGTGTTTTTATTGAAACAAATGAGGTTGTCACTGCAAATGTTTTTGTCAAAGTGGATCAATGTGTTACAAGTTGAAGAAATTTTGATGGTTGCGAGAAGAACATTGAGAATTTTTTTGGCTTTTATGATTCAATGTTATTAAGATTTTTTTTCTCAAAATTATTAGAAGCATTATTATTAGATAGGAATAGGTCATGTCAACTTACAACGGTATAAGGTCTAATCGACAAAGTCTTAGGTAAGGACAAACTTTTTTTAAATAGAAAATTGTTTTTTTTTACGATGCAGGGGAACTACCATATAGAAGAATACATGCAATATAAATTCCAAATATATCTAACAGTTTCTTGTATCATACGCCTAATAAATGTTAGAAATTTAGGGTGTGATAATCCTGGATAACTTCGATGAATCGTGTTCGTACACTTTCCGAACAAAGTATTTCGACCCTATTCTTGTCTGGGTTCACGAAATCTTTGTGGGGATAATTCTCGAAGAAATTCTGTTTCCGACAAAAGAAACGAATTGTAATTATAGAGAGAAGGATGCGTTTTTCTGTATACGAGACCGAGGCCGAACGACTCCTTATATAGGAGAACAGTAATTGAAACGAAGAGACACATTTGTTCGAAACGAATATGTCCGTTGGGAAACAGTTATGTCCGTTGGGAAACAGTTATGTCCGTTGGGGAACAGTTATGTCCGTTGGGGAAAGGATTCAAAATTTTTGCACGGGGCGCTGCCCCGCACCCCGCCAGGGGCTTCGCCCCTTGGAACTCCAACGGGGCGCTGCCCCGCACCCCGCCAGGGGCTTCGCCCCTTGGAACCCCGTTTCAATTATTCGTATTCAATTATGTATTGGCTCGACGAGCGTGCACTCCGCACTTCCCTAACTCGTCTCCGAACTTAACGCATAATTGCATCGGCCTTTAGAAATCACATTACTACTAAAATACATTGGTGATACAAAATCGCCAACAATAAATAGCAGATTGTTATAACAACTCTATTATATAAAGGATACGCACGAAGAATTTAGAGACACATTTTTTATTTCAATTTTCATTCACTCTTCTCCCTCACGTTACTGAATTAAGCGATGAAATGCTAACCTTACAGTAAGACCCTTTTCTACGAAATCAGAAGCTCATATCCACCTTCATCCATCCCGACCACCGATCCTTCAACCAATTTAGGTTCCGCAATGGAACAATTGGGCCTTATGTGAGAATCGACTTCTGATTCACACATTTCCACAATCACACATTCTCTCTTCGATTTATTGGTTCAAAACCTTTCTAGTTTATCAAATCAGAGTTTGTGATGAGTGCTAAATTATTATGAAATTGAGTGTGAATAATTAGCATTCATCGGCTTAATTCGTTTACTTTTTGTCAATAAACCTTAACTTTAATATATATATATATATATATATATATATATATATATATATATATATATATATATATATATATATATATATATATATATATATATATATATATACTCGGTATAGTTTATGTTATATTGTGTTATCGTGTAAATATCATTGAGTTTAATTGTTTTTATCTCATTTTTGTAGGTACTCAAGAATTTATATTTAGTCATTGTTAGAAAGAGTATTGAATAAGCTTTCCAAGGCTTCAAACCGTGCACAAGTCGGAGTTACGGTTTTCAAGTTATGACAAAAACAATACTGATTTTTCCAATTTACTGCCAGGCTCACCCCGAGCTCATCGGGCGACGCAGAGGCGAGACAGAACACCCAGAAACATGAAAAAAATATATTTTTTTGAGCGTCAGGCTCGCCTCGGGCTCGCTGGGCGAGACTGTCTGGGTAGAATTTTATTATAAAGGGGAAAACACATTTTTTTAGGTTATGTTTTGGGATATTTGTTCTCGATTCATCAACCAAATTTTTTGATCTTGAGAGCTTAGAAAAACATCAATGGAGGTTGCAACTCGACGATTGAGGGTGGATGATTCTTGGATCGTGATTGACACCGCAAGAGATTTTGATTCCTCTTCTCTCCTCCCTTTGTAGTTTCCATTTGTTGTGAGTTTGTATATAACTTTATCTTGATTATATGTATATTTATTGCGCATGAGGTTGTATGAAACTCATTTTATAAATTGATATTGATGATTGCTTTCTTTATTTGGGTTTGAGTTGTTGCAGAAATGGACAGTTCGAATCCGAATTTAGGATGAACATCTATTGGATTTTAATTTTGGAGATAGATTAAGACTTAATATTCATTTGGGTATCAGAGCTTAATGCTTTCGTGTTGTTTATGTTGGACTGAGAGATTGCTGACGCGAGTAATACGGTTGTTGTCTCACTCTGTATTAGAGATAACCTCTGTGTGAGAGATACATGATAATATTGATGAGTGATTTAGGTTGAGTACAACTGGGTAGTAGGTTTAAGTATTTGATAGGGTGGATGAAATGCAAACCCGATAGTTCTCTACTCTCCGAAGAATGAATTCTTTTTTTGTTAATAACTTTAATTCCCACATTTACCTTTTATACAAACCAACCCAATTCAATCTCAAACTCATAAATGCGAGAAATTGTCGAACGACAATTCAGTAGCACTAATCTCGGTGGAGAAGATATGATATAATCTATAAAAATACTTACTTTTTCTTGCCGCTTTACCACTTCAGCAAAATGGCGTCATTGTCGGGTATTGGTGTTTTTATTGGATCGCATTGCAATAGTTTCTTTGTTTTTGAGTTTTATAGATATCGTATATATTCTCTATCTTCACTTGTTTATATTGATACTTGTATATATTTACCATAATTGTAAATTTGACATGTTTTGTAGACTTGAAAATTTAGTGTATATGTTTTTTTCCTCATGTTTGCTAAGTGTTTGGTTAAGTTTCTCTGTCAGTGAGCACTAACCGTGTAAAAGAGGCAACTTGGAGAAATGTGTGTAAATAATAGGCGTCGAGCTTACGACGTAAAACAAACATGTTTTATCATTTTTTGTTTTTTTATAGTTTTTCATTATATTAATTTAAGAAGTATGCTGCATGTTAGTTAAACAAGTTGCAATTGGACCAGTTCTTAAAATTCTCAAAGCTACACTTTTCAACCTGTTTGATTCAATTTCACCCGGTCTTTTAGTATATAGTAGTATAATTAATTCTTTTATTGTTGTTTGGACTCAAATTTTAGTTTGATAGCTTGAAGTCATAATTGGTGATTTTCCAATTTTGAGTGTTTCAACTTGTGGATGTATGGTAATGATATTGTTTTGAAGTTTGTACACGACAGGAACTCGTTTATCCATTTCTAGAATATATCATGTTTAAGATATTTTTCTTTTGTACAAAATTTCATGGCATTTATTCTTTTGCCATACTTGTTCATTCGTGAATCATTTTAGGACAAAACCATTTTGTGAGGTTGCTTCCATTGTTTACCATATGCAAGAGACCAACCTTCTTGGTAACTCAGTTTTATTATGATTAACCGTTTATTTGTATTGAATATGTATGAAAGCATGAAAATGATCAAGACATTTTTTTGAATTTGAGCATAACCACCTTCCAAAAGTATTTGACCACGTGAGTGTGCGTGCATTTATTAGTCATTTAAGCCTTAATGTCATGATCCATACTTGTATAGAAAATGTCGAACTTGTAAATAACTAACTAGTTCTTCATTGATTTTTTTATGGATCTTGAATTTGTTTCTTGAAACACTTGACCTTCAACTTTACTTTGTGATTTGTTTAGTTTCCTTGCCTTATAAAGTTAGGGAGCATTCACACTTCATGTTAGGTTGTATTCAAGTTGGGGAGAACACTTCTTTAGTTGCTCATGTGTTATTTACATTGTATAATTGAAAGGAAATAAGTGGTTATAAGAAGAAAAGAAAAAAGTGTGAAAAAGAAAAAGAAAAGAGAAAGAAAAAGAAAATGAAAAAAAGTGTGTTTGAATAAAATCAAGGTTGTACCAATGAGTAAAGTGAGAGGGTGAATAAAAGTAATTTTTGATTGTTTAAATTTGTGTGATTAAATGCACCCATAGATTTAGGCAATTTCATTTAGTTAGCTTAGGATCAACCCTTCTTTGTTAATCGAGCCCAATTACAACCCTTGAAAAGTCCTCTTGATTCCTGCTTTTATATTATTCATAATGAATTTTTCTCGATGAGTGCATAATTAAACTTGTTGTTACTTGATTTTTGGGTGAGAGTAAAAGCACCTCGTTGTTTTTGTTATTCATCTACCGATGCATTGTGTGCTAGGTGTGATTCATTTTTTAATTTTGTATTATTTTAGAATCTTTGACATGTGTTTTGTATTTAGGAGATATTTCATTTTCATGCTATCGTTGTAGTTTAGTGGTAAGTGTTTACTTTGATTGTACGTTTTTTATTTGAACTATACATTTGTTTTCCGTTTTCAAAAACAATTGATTCGTGATTCTTGGATTATTATCTTTTATTTCTTTAAGTTGTTTGATTTTGTTTGAGGACAAACAATGTTTTAAGTTACGGAGAGTTTGATGTGTTAAAATTTTGTGAATTTGAGTGTGAATAATTAGCATTCATCGGCTTAATTCGTTTGATTTTTGCCAATAAACCTCAACTTTAATATATATATATATATATATATATATATATATATATATATATATATATATATATATATATATATATATATATATATATATATATATATATATATATATATATATATATATATATATATATATATATATATATATATATATATATATATATATATATATATATATATATATATATATATATATATATTCGGTATAATTTATGATATACTGTATATATTGTGTTATCGTGTAAATATCATTGAGTTTAATTGTTTTTATCTCATTTTTTTAGGTATTCAAGAATTAATATTTAGTCATTATTAAAAAGAGCATTAAATAATTTTTCCAACGCTTCAAATCGTGCGTAAATCAGAGTTACGGTTTTCAAGTTATGGCAAAAATAGTGTTGATTTTTCCAATTTACTGTCAGGCTCGCCCCGAGCTAGCTGGGTGACGCAGAGGCGAGGCAGAACATCCAAAA